CCTACCTACTTTGGATATTGATCGTAGAAAAATTATATTCAGAATAATGAAACATTATTATTAAATAACAAGTTTTTTTATTGTCAAATTTAATACGTAATATTATTTTTTAATTGCAAATATTTGAATGTTAAAATTATAGCGTTTAATTTTTTTATTCAATGACGAACTCGAGAGTGATAGAAAAAAAATACTACCTACCTTTAATGCAGGAAGTCGATGTCAATTTATCCAAAAATAAAACTGATTAAAATGTACAATGAAACTCACTAGGACACTTGGCACAAATAAATTAATTTTCTATTAAAGAAAATAGCACTTATTAAAAACAATCAGCACAATAAAACTAAATACCCGTAAGCTTGTTTGTAAATTTATAGACTCTTAACTCCTTCCCCCAGCCTTCATTAAGTATATTAAATGTCGTGACGTCATATTGGCACAGATATACGGTAATGTGTTATTGACAATCAGGGAAATGTTTCTAGGTAATAACTACCTAAGATAAGATAAATGAATGTTAAATACCTACTCATAATATCTATTGTAGGGTTTTTGTACTTTAATAGGATAAATATTTATGCGGGCCTGGAAATTCCAGGAAATGACCGTCAAAATTACCCAAAAACATTAGGTTAGTACCAACATCAGATAACAGATAACTTCGGTATTTAACCAATTAATCACAATTAATATTCTTGAACATTCAAATGACAAAAACTTCCATCTTTAACCAATGAGAATATAGTTTTCATTCGATACTTCAAAATCACAATTTATTAATTAGGTAGAATAGTTTTAAAATATATTGCGAATTGCGACACGTCAAGCGTCCCACTCCGACTCAATGTGACGCAATTATTGTGGCAATATATTTTGAAACGACTCTATATTCGTGACTTGAAATTATAAACATCCCTCGTATTACTACTCGTATATAAACCAAATTATTTGTTTTAGGAAATATTTATATTTAATGTGAGTCAAGATATCGTTTTTGTTGTTAACCATCGCATACCTACCTACATTCTTTACTTTGGTCCAGGAAACAAAGTCAATTTTCGATAAAAATAAAATGTAATAGGTAGGTAATACTTTATGAAACAGTACAATAAAAGTATTGAAATAAAGTATGCTCATACTCCAAAATGAGTCCTAGAGTTAACATTTATATAATATTATAAATTGCATATAAAACGATTGGACCGATTTCACAATTGCGAAATATTTTTTTTTATTTGGTAAAATCCCGGCAATTATTGAAAAATAGATTTTATGTTCAGGACTATTATTAGGATCATTCGAACTCAGTCTACTAAAAACCGGTTTATAATACAATATCCCCTAATAGCTAGTCGGTCGATATTTATAGTTACTTAAAGATTTCTGTAATAATTTGCACTAATTCAATCTCTAGTCGGTAGGTAACAGCACCTCCTTGATTGAATCTAAATTGACATAATTTTGTTCAGAAATTCCTAGGAGACGCTGTCCTTAAGGACAGCAGTGGCGACTTTATAGTTTTCGGGTGCGCTCGCCAACATTCGTTTCAGTTCTAAATTTTTTAATAATAAATATTTAATATCATCGTCGTCCAAATCTTCTAATATGGTAATTTCTAATGCCTGTTCCATATTATGTACTATTATAAAAAATAAAGAAGATGGACTGTAATTTAAAATTTATAAATGAGGTTAGAAATATGTATAAGGACAACTTCGAGCATATATATTTCATAGAGTCCGCATTCAATAGGGTTTTTTTACGTTATAAGGGGAGACGCCTAGACACTATTACCAGTGTCGCATCATTTTTACGGGGTTTGCAATTAGTATAAATAATAAATTTAATACATAGGGTCCGATTACAATTATTAGAAGAACACAGCTTTGTCATCATTTGACAAAGTAATAAATTGGTATTTTCCGCCTATTGGTGGTTTACTGGAGTGTTAATATTATAGGAATATAGGAAATATTGTTTTATACCTAACAACTTACTTAGTTTTTATTAATTGAGAGTTATAGATAATGTGTATTCGAAATTCGAAGTAATGGTTATGACGTAGCGGTGTTCTTTTAATTGTAATCGGACCCTACATTTAAAATTTTTTAAATTAGGCACGTATTATATAAACTTGCATTATTTAAGTAGGTACATATCTAATAATAGTAAATTATTATTATTACTTTTTTTTTATGTCATCGGCTTCAACAGCTAAGGTTATTTCGCCTCTTGTTCTGTGTATGCTTTGTTACTGTTTCCCAGTGCCATTTTAGGAACAGCACTGTTAATTAGAACCCAGCAGTGAATGGTCGAGTGGGGAATCCTACCAAGGCATCAGAATTAATTTTAAATAATTAAATTAAACGAAAAAATTCCGGCCAACGGTGGGATTCGAACCTGAGACCCTTGGATCCACAAGCAGAGACTCTACCACTGAGCCACCCACCCCCCTTTTATTATTTTTATTAATATTAATAATATTATTATTATTTGTGTTGGGAACATGTTTTTTTTTTAATTCAAACATCAGAAAGTGTATAACGGAAAAATGAATATTGAAATAATAGACAATAAAAAAGATAAAAAGCTTATATTTAAAAATTAAAAATATAAATAAATAGGTATATTATACAAATATTTATGATATCTCTTAACACACGTGTACGAGAATTACAATGCAAGAACTTTTTCCAATAATTTATTAAATATAAAAATATTGTTCGTAACCAATGTTCAATAGATTACTAAACGATATACTACTACTAAGGTACACTTGCACTGCTGGTCGTTAACAAATAAGCGAAGCTTCATTTTTATTGGAAAACTGTCTTAAGCTTCGATTATTTCTTAATGACTAGGAGTGCAAATAAAAGAGGCTTAAAATGACTTTTTTACTGAAAAACTCACATTAGGTTTTGCTTATTTCTTAACAACTAGTAGTCTACTTAATTATAAAACATAGGTACATTTAATAAAAAATAATTATTGTCAATTTTTGTGGTAATTATTTTAAAATAAAATATATGTTGTATTAAAAAGTACTTAGTTACTTATATGTTTTCTAATTCTGCATTTTCTTTTTCTGCAACAGATTTCATGGTTCAGATCATCACTAAAAAATTAAAAATTTTAAACAATTAACTCACAAGAAAAGTGCAGGGTTCTTTACATTTAAGATTTATCTTCTTCTGGGGCCTCAGTAAATGCTGATGGCAATGCACCTGGAATTTATCCAGTTCTTCCTCCGCATAAAGTCTTTGACATAAATATATATCCAGAAAAATGATTGGAACATAAAACATCAGAATTTGAAATGTTTTCTGGAGTAAGTTTTAATATATTTCACCAAATGCGTTTTTTTCGACAGGATAAGCTGGAAAGCTACAAAAAACAAACATTGATTTAACATCTTCAACATTATTCTGATAAAATGACTTAAAAACAAAAAGCTTGTTTATATTGAAAAATTATGATTATTTTTTTTAACTTTTCAGTAGAGTCCAAAATCAAAAACAATGTTCCTCATACATATACAAGTTCTTTAAATTTAATTCACTAAATTTACTATTTATTTTAAATTCATGTTTAACGGCCTTATGCATCAAATGTAGGTATCTACAATGTTTCTTTAAAAAAAAATGGTAGAGATGCTAATGGTTACTTACTTGTGAAATGCTCTTGATGATGCCTTTTCTTATTTCTATTTACAACTTACACAAACTCTCACCATTGTAAAGTAATAAAATACAAAAAATCACTTATAAACTACACAATTAGAAATTAATGAAAATCAAAAATCAAATGACAGTTTTGACAATTTCGAACGATTTGACATGCCAAGCAAAACGAAACAGACCAATGGGAATGCTGGACACTATTTTTCCCCCCTGTACCAAAACAAAGTCCATTTGGACAATGGCTCTAGTAATACTCGTATATGCTTGAAGAAGGACAAGGACTCTAATGTCAAAATTTTAGTTTTGCAATAAGTCTTATTTTAGCATGGAATTTATTTGCCTCTAATTACGTTGTCACTATTAGTGGCTGACGTTATAGAAATTTGCAATAACTTTATTGACACTGGCAAATTTTAATTACATTTCAACATAAGCCTACCATGGAATCGCGCTACTCAGTAGCTAGCACGTCCACACGAACGACCAGTGGTCACCACTCTGTGGCGACACCGAGTGGCCTGTATATGCCAATTAGCAGCGCGAGTGAGTGGCGCCACAGAGTGACTCGTCTGGACAGGCCCTTATACAAAAACACAGTTCTGTCAGATGAAGGGCAAAAAGATACCTAAAGAAAGGAAGCTATCTTTCACGCCACAGTTTTATAGTTTTATAAATTCCTATATGCTCAGAGCATCCTGGAAAAGTATTTACTAATACTTTTATTGGTGTTATTATGAAGAACTGTTTTGATTTATTCCAGTGTGGACAACACAAAATTTACATGTCTTCTATACCTCAAGCATATCCTGCTGGAAATGTGCCCATTAACAAAAAAAAAACTTGACAATATTAAATAAGTTCTGAAATATGTCAACGCTGAAGATGATGAAGCTCAAGCATTTTACGAGGTGATTTTACAGTGGCCTACCACAGGTTGAAGATCAATAAATTGCTAGCATTTTAATATATTTTTTAAACCAAACATGTTTCTCTGTTGGTTTCTTTTTTACAATTATGTACCGAGTTTATTATGTATGTCTTAACTCATTTTTACTGATTATTGAAAAGAAATAAATCCTTCTTTTAAAAAACAAAAAACTATACAAAAATTAAATAAGCAAAATTCCTCTAGGATAAACTATTCTTAGCCAATTTACTTTCATAATACTGGCTATAGGCTTCAGTGGACCAGATAAGTCCGTTCCAAACAAATTTTTCTCATTCACTCAAAACTTTTTTTAGTACCATTTCAACAATCACCGATTCATATACATATAACTGTTAGCAAGCTTATCGTTGTTTATAAAAATAATAACTCCAGGACTTTGTATACTTTATTTTAATACTATTTAACATACCGTTTAATATTATTTATTATACTGTTTCCATTAAAGAAAATTTACTCGACTTCCTATATTAAGTTTTCATATAAAATCTTATAATCTGGTTCTATAAAATGTATAAATTGACTAATTAATGCGAGGAGATGACTATAATGTCAAGAATATTACTAATTGAGATTTATCAGATAATACCGAAATTTTCAGTAGTTTGGGCAATAAAAATTACATTTTTATTTTACAAAAATTAAAAAATTAATTAGCAGCAACGGTTTGTGCGATCCAGTCTGCGTAATGCGAAAGCTTGGTGTACACATTTGGAGCTCCTTTGGAACTGCATGGATAAACATACCAGGTGGCAATACCGATAACAGTTCCATCTTGAGACACAGGACTACCAAAGTCAGCATAGCAGATGTTTGAAGTTTCGCCTAAGGTGCACATATTGCCTTCGGTATCAAACTCATCTTGGTCTGGATAGAATATATTTACTCGTTTGACGCAATCTAAAACAATTAAAGAAAACGTATTGTTTGTTTTCACTTTTTAGGTCTGGTTGAGAAGTTTAAAATGTTAAAATTGATTGAAATTTACTAAAATTTACTAAAATTTACTAAAATTTACTAAAATTTACTAAAATTTACTAAAATTTACTAAAATTTACTAAAATTTACTAAAATTTACTAAAATTTACTAAAATTTACTAAAATTTACTAAAATTTACTAAAATTTACTAAAATTTACTAAAATTTACTAAAATTTACTAAAATTTACTAAAATTTACTAAAATTTACTAAAATTTACTAAAATTTACTAAAATTTACTAAAATTTGCTAAAATTTACTAAAATTTACTAAAATTTACTAAAATTTACTAAAATTTACTAAAATTTACTAAAATTTACTAAAATTTACTAAAATTTACTAAAATTTACTAAAATTTACTAAAATTTACTAAAATTTACTAAAATTTACTAAAATTTACTAAAATTTACTAAAATTTACTAAAATTTACTAAAATTTACTAAAATTTACTAAAATTTACTAAAATTTACTAAAATTTACTAAAATTTACTAAAATTTACTAAAATTTACTAAAATTTACTAAAATTTACTAAAATTTACTAAAATTTACTAAAATTTACTAAAATTTACTAAAATTTACTAAAATTTACTAAAATTTACTAAAATTTACTAAAATTTACTAAAATTTACTAAAATTTACTAAAATTTACTAAAATTTACTAAAATTTACTAAAATTTACTAAAATTTACTAAAATTTACTAAAATTTACTAAAATTTACTAAAATTTACTAAAATTTACTAAAATTTACTAAAATTTACTAAAATTTACTAAAATTTACTAAAATTTACTAAAATTTACTAAAATTTACTAAAATTTACTAAAATTTACTAAAATTTACTAAAATTTACTAAAATTTACTAAAATTTACTAAAATTTACTAAAATTTACTAAAATTTACTAAAATTTACTAAAATTTACTAAAATTTACTAAAATTTACTAAAATTTACTAAAATTTACTAAAATTTACTAAAATTTACTAAAATTTACTAAAATTTACTAAAATTTACTAAAATTTACTAAAATTTACTAAAATTTACTAAAATTTACTAAAATTTACTAAAATTTACTAAAATTTACTAAAATTTACTAAAATTTACTAAAATTTACTAAAATTTACTAAAATTTACTAAAATTTACTAAAATTTACTAAAATTTACTAAAATTTACTAAAATTTACTAAAATTTACTAAAATTTACTAAAATTTACTAAAATTTACTAAAATTTACTAAAATTTACTAAAATTTACTAAAATTTACTAAAATTTACTAAAATTTACTAAAATTTACTAAATTTACTAAAATTTACTATCAAGATGCCTTGATATGAGGAACTATGTTTTTTACTAAGACTGCCTTGATCTTAGAGGATTCTTAAGGGTTCTTTTAAGGGCTAAACAATACATTTTGCACCTAAGGAGAATGATAGGACTCCTCAAGGCTCGATTATAACAGTCCTACATTAATAGATTTGAGAAACAAATTTTGTTCAAAAATAATATTTATAAAATTATCCCTATAATTCACTAATTGAATTTGCTCAAACTGGGTGGTAAGACACTTACCTGTGTTAGAAATGAGTTCTAGATCAGCGGCTGCTTTAAGTGTGTTGACAGAATTGTCTCTAGTGTAACTATAACCAGTTACAACAGCTTTACCTGTGAATTCTTGGCCTTGTGTTGGCAATTTTGCTGCTTGAACTTTGTCGTTGAAGGTCAGTGGTGTAGCTAACTTAATTAAAGCGAGATCATTTGGACCGGATCTGAAAGAAGAAGTGGTATTTGTAACGAACATTTTTTTAGGCAACTTTTGGAGAAACGTAAAATTATATTTTTTGAAGGTTTAGATGACGATGATATTAAATATTTAATATTAAAAAACTTCGAACGAATACGAATGTCGGCGAGCACACCCGAAAGCTATAAAGTCGCCACTACCTACTGCCCTTAAATATCCACAATTAAGGACAGGTACAATGTTTATTAGGTCAGTTTTACAACATAAACGATCTGCGCATGCTTAGATGTCAAAATAAGAGTAGCACTAATAGTGACTGACCTTAAGTGATCTTGCAATAACTCTCTAATGAGTGGTCACTAGAGATACTATGGTCACGGCATAAAAAACAATCGGCAGGCTCACTCTCCGCTGATCGCATACAAATATTATACTAAGAAAATTTGACCTTGACGACGCCATTCGGTGGTCTTAGTCAGGGTCGGATTAAAGCGTATTTAAAGATTTTGTAATAAAATAAGGTATTGATAGGCAGGATCGTATTAAAATAAAAAGCTTCACAGATTACGCCAAATAATTAGCTTGTTTTTATTGATGGTCTTAAAATTTCTATTAATATTTTTAAATTGAAATATATGAGCAGCCTTAAATATAACTTAGGACCGATTCCACCGTTGTGTTAAACGAAGTTTTACTTTAACAATGTCATTTTAATCTCCGTTTAACACAACGGTGGAATCGACCCTTAATAACATATATTTATGGAAATCGGGGACAAGGAGCGTCAAATGTTATCTCGGAATTAATTAAATCTAAAAAAAAAATTACAAACGCCGGATTTAGTGATAAATAATTCAAAATTGTGATGAAAAATTATTTCAATTTTTGTTATTAAACATACAAAACTATTATTTGACATTTTTAAATTGCCAAAAATATCTTTATTTGCTTTTTCTGTATGCTTTATAATAACAATACATGGAGCTTATATCCAAGTCTTCGTGTGTTAAGGCATATTGTGTACATACATCGCAACGTTGAATTTTAAGACATTTTTTTTAATTAAAAATCCGCATATATAATAAAATTTTCTTAAAAAATATTAATATTTTGTGCATGCAATTCATAAATATGCTTGTTTATATTTACATTTTCGACAATATTGCCACCTTTACACGCGATTTTGGAAAATGGCTCATCCTTACTAGTCCTACGAATTTCATGTAGCCTTACAAGTAAAGCATCCCCACCTGTTTCGCAGTTTTCAGTTCCAGAATGTAATAAATTTAAACATTGCGATTTTTTGAACGGCCTTTGAATTTGGACCGATGTAGGGTTTACACAGTTACCATCATGGAGGAAGGATAATTAAGAGTTGCAGATTCCTCACAGAAATTTGGCAGCATGTTTACCTTCAGCGACATATGGAATAGTTTTGTGCAATTAATACTCAGTCGGTAATATAGAAAGATGTAATGCTATTTTAGCTTAAAAATTGGCGGGCTTTTGAATTTACTTCGAAAAAATATAAGAATTTTACATTTTTAATAGCACTGCTTAAAACACATTATTTTGATTGTGACTCATTACTAATTTACTACTTATAATTTATTTAATGGCTAACTAAGATTTTCTTGCTTTTTGTAATGAACATACTTTAGATTTATCAAGATTATAAAGCTTTGTTATTCGCATATCTAGAATAATTGTCAAAATGAATATCAGAATTAAATTTTTGTTAAGCATTTCAAAATTTTTTTATAATGACTTTTTCCTTAAAATAAAAATAAAGATTTTTCCATTTTGTCAACTCCTTACGGGAGATGTTTAAAATATAACATTTCACTTTAAATCTTAATAATATACCTACATAAGTAAATATAAATTGACGCTAAAATTTACGTGACGTTAACTAGGCACCTACCTACATCTTACTAATAGCTTTAGAACTGACAAACTGACTCATAAACTAGGATTATTTAAAAGTATACCTACCATACATACCTAATAAGATCTTTAAGAAACGGAAAAAATCTTTTAATACAGTTTATTCATATAGTTTTTTGCTGCACAAGTTTGCCCAGACATAGTAAAACACTTAAAAGTTAACAAATTAACACTGTAAAACAACTACTATATAAAAAGTGTCAAAAAATATCTATAATTCTAAAAAAATAACAATAACTACATAATACAAACATCACAAACAAAATAAATTTAAGATACACGCTACTGATTCCGTGCTACTGCAACTTGTTTGTTTTCGTCGATATAAACGACGACAGTGACGCCACTGGCTTGATTAAGAGGTTGGACCCCAAAATGGCGGTGTGCGCGAAGATGTGCGCGTAGCGTTGCCGCCAAGACAAGTTAGCCTGCCGATTGTTTATTATGCCGTGCCTCAAGCATATACTGCTGGAAATGTGCCCATTTACAAAAAAAACTTGACAATATTAAACAAGTTCTGAAATATGTCAACGCTGAAGATGATGAAGCTCAAGCATTTTACGAGGAGATTTTACAGTGGCCTACCACAGGTTGAAGATCAATAAATTGCTAGCATTTTAATATATTTTTTACACCAAACATGTTTCTCTGTTGGTTTCTTTTTTAGAATTATGTACCGAGTTTATTATGTATGTCTTAACTTATTTTTACTGATTGTTGAAAAGAACTAAATCCTTCTTTTTAAAAACAAAAAAAAACTATACAAAAATTAAATAAGCAAAATTCCTCTAGGATAAACTATTCTTAGCCAATTTACTTTCATAATACTGGCTATAGGCTTCAGTGAATCAGATAAGTCCGTTCCAAACAAATTTTTCTCATTCACTCAAATCTTTTTTTAGTACCATTTCAACAATCACCGATTCATATACCTATATAATATATAACTGTTAGCAAGCTTATCGTTGTTTATAAAAATAATAACTCCAAGACTTTGTATACTTTATTTTAATACTATTTTACATACCGTTTAATAATATTTATTATACTGTTTCCATTAAAGAAAATTTACTCGACTTCCTATACTAAGTTTTCATATAAAATCTTATAATCTGGTTCTATAAAATGTATAAATTGACTAATTAATGCGAGGGGATGACTATAATGTTAAGTCAAGAATATTACTAATTGAGATTTATCAGATAATACCGAAATTTTCAGTAGTTTGGGCAATAAAAATTACATTTTTATTTTACAAAAATTAAAAAATTAATTAGCGGCAACGGTTTGTGCGATCCAGTCTGCGTAATGCGAAAGCTTGGTGTACACATTTGGAGCTCCTTTGGAACTGCATGGATAAACATACCACGTGGCGATACCGATAACAGTTCCATCTTGAGATACAGGACTACCAAAGTCAGCATAGCAGATGTTTGAATTTTCGCCTAAGGTGCACATATTGCCTTCGGTATCAAACTCGTCTTGGTCTGGATAGAATATATTTACTCGTTTGACGCAATCTAAAACAATTAAAGAAAACGTATTGTTTGTTTTCACTTTTTAGGTCTGGTTGAGAAGTTTAAAATGTTAAAATTGATTGAAATTTACTAAAATTTACTAAACGTTACTAAAATTTACTAAAATTTACTAAAATTTACTAAAATTTACTAAAATTTACTAAAATTTACTAAAATTTACTAAAATTTACTAAAATTTACTAAAATTTACTAAAATTTACTAAAATTTACTAAAATTTACTAAAATTTACTAAAATTTACTAAAATTTACTAAAATTTACTAAAATTTACTAAAATTTACTAAAATTTACTAAAATTTACTAAAATTTTCTAAAATTTACTAAAATTTACTAAAATTTACTAATATTTACTAAAATTTACTAAAATTTACTAAAATTTACTAAAATTTACTAAAATTTACTGAAATTTACTAAAATTTACTAAAATTTACTAAAATTTACTAAAATTTACTAAAATTTACTAAAATTTACTAAAATTTACTAAAATTTACTAAAATTTACTAAAATTTACTAAAATTTACTAAAATTTACTAAAATTTACTAAAATTTACTAAAATTTACTAAAATTTACTAAAATTTACTAAAATTTACTAAAATTTACTAAAATTTACTAAAATTTACTATCAAGATGCCTTGATATGAGGAACTATGTTTTTTACTAAGTCTGCCTTGATCTTAGAGGATTCTTAAGGGTTCTTTTAAGGGCTAAACAATACATTTTGCACCTAAGGAGAATGATAGGACTCCTCAAGGCTCGATTATAACAGTCCTACATTAATAGATTTGAGAAACAAATTTTGTTCAAAAATAATATTTATAAAATTATCCCTATAATTCACTAATTGAATTTGCTCAAACTGGGTGGTAAGACACTTACCTGTGTTAGAAATGAGTTCTAGATCAGCGGCTGCTTTAAGTGTGTTGACAGAATTGTCTCTAGTGTAACTATAACCAGTTACAACAGCTTTACCTGTGAATTCTTGGCCTTGTGTTGGCAATTTTGCTGCTTGAACTTTGTCGTTGAAGGTCAGTGGTGTAGCTAACTTAATTAAAGCGAGATCATTTGGACCGGATCTGAAAGAAGAAGTGGTATTTGTAACGGAACATTTTTTTAGGCAACTTTTGGAGAAACGTAAAATTATATTTTTTGAAGGTTTAGATGACGATGATATTAAATATTTAATATTAAAAAACTTCGAACAGATACGAATGTCGGCGAGCGCACCCGAAAGCTATAAAGTCGTCACTACCTACTGTCCTTAAATATCCACAATTAAGGACAGGTACAGTGTTTATTAGGTCAGTTTTACAACATAAACGATCTGCGCATGCTTAGATGTCAAAATAAGAGCAGCACTAATAGTGACTGACCTTAAGTGATCTTGCAATAACTCTCTAATAAGTGGTCACTAGAGATACTATGGTCACGGCATAAAAAACAATCGGCAGGCTCACTCTCCGCTGATCGCATACAAATATTATACTAATAAAATTTGACCTTGATGACGCCATTCGGTGGTCTTAGTCAGGGTCGGATTAAAGCGTATTTAAAGATTTTGTAATAAAATAAGGTATTGATAGGCAGGATCGTATTAAAACAAAAAAGCTTCACAGATTGCGCCAAATAATTAGCTTGTTTTTATTGATGATCTTAAAATTTCTATTAATATTTTTAAAGTGAAATATATGAGCAGCCTTAAATATAACTTAGGACCGATTCCACCGTTGTGTTAAACGAAGTTTAAAATTACATTTTTACATTAACAATGTCATTTTAATCTCCGTTTAACACAACGGTGGAATCGACCCTTAATAACATATATTTATGGAAATCGGGGACAAGGAGCGTCAAATGTTATCTCGGAATTAATTAAATCTAAAAAAAAATTACAAACGCCGGATTTAGTGATAAATAATTCAAAATTGTGATGAAAAATTATTTCAATTTTTGTTATTAAACATACAAAACTAATATTTGACATTTTTAAATTGCCAAAAATATCTTTATTTGCTTTTTTGTATGCTTTATAATAACAATACATGGAGCTTATATCCAAGTCTTCGTGTGTTAAGGCATATTGTGTACATACATCGCAACGTTGAATGTTAAGACATTTTTTTATTTAAAAATCCGCATATATAATAAAATTTTCTTAAAAAATATTAATATTTTGTGCATGCAATTCATTAATATGCTTGTTTATATTTACATTTTCGACAATATTGCCACCATTACACGCGATTTTGGAAAATGGCTCATCCTTACTAGTCCTACGAATTTCATGTAGCCTTACAAGTAAAGCATCCCCACCCGTTTCGCAGTTTTCAGTTCCAGAATGTAATAAATTTAAACATTGCGATTTTTTTAACGTCCTTTGAATTTGGACCGATGTAGGGTTTACACAGTTACCATCATGGAGGAAGGATAATTAAGAGTTGCAGATTCCTCACAGAAATTTGGCAGCATGTTTACCTTCAGCGACATATGGAATAGTTTTGTGCAATTAATACTCAGTCGGTAATATAGAAAGATGTAATGCTATTTTAGATTGAAAATTGGCGGGCTTTTGAATTTACTTCGACAAAATATAAACATTTTACATTTTTAATAGCACTGCTTAAAACACATGATTTTGATTGTGACTCATTACTAATTTACTACTTATAATTTCTTTAATGGCTAATTAAGATTTTCTTGCTTTTTGTAATGAAAATACTTTAGATTTATCAAGATTATAAAGCTTTGTTATTCGCCTATCTAGAATAATTATCAAAATAAATATCAGAATTAAATTTTTATCAAGCATTTCAATATTTGGGAATAACACAATTACGATTAATATTCATTTTTTTTTTCAGAAAAAAAAAATATTCCTTACAAAAAATTCTGCTTGTTGAAGAAAATTACAAGAAAGAGTTTCCTTTTAAAGTTATGAAAGAAAACCGAAAGGAAAACTGACTTTTCTTCGTAAAATCAATAAGGTAATACAGATTTTTTCCTTTTGTCAATTTTAAGTTTCTTCATTTTTTAAGACCATGTACACCTGACCTAACATATTAATATAGTAAACCTATTTTTTCGTCAAGCAGAATTTTTTTATAATGACTTTTTCCTTAAAATAAAAATAAAGATTTTCCATTTTGTCTACTCCATACGGGAGATGTTTAAAATATAACATTTTACTTTAAATCTTAATAATATACCTACATAAGTAAATTTAAATTGACGCTAAACTTTACGTGACGTTAACTAGGCACCTACCTACATCTTACTAATAGCTTTATAACTGACAAACTGACTCATATACTAGGATTTTTTTAAAAGTATACCATACATACCTAATAAGATCTTTAAGAAACCGAAAAAATCTTTTAATACGGTTTATTCATATAGTTTTTTGCTGCACAACTTTGCCCAGACATAGTAAAACACTTAAAAGTTAACAAATTAACACTGGAAAACAACTACTATATAAAAAGTATCAAAAAATATCTTTAATTCTAAAAAAATAACAATAACTACATAATACAAACATCACAAACAAAATAAATTTAAGATATACGCTACTGATTCCGTGCTACTGCAACTTGTTTGTTTTTGTCGATATAAACGACGACAGTGACGCCATTGGCCAAAATGGCGGTGTGCGCGTAGATGTGCGCATAGCGTTACCGCCAAGACAAGTTAGCCTGCCGATTGTTTATTATGCCGTGATATGGTGTTCTAACCGGGAGAACTAATGACGTATTTAACAGTTGACATGGTAAAAATCGCCCGAAAGGACGCTACCAGAGATCAGCACTGGCATTAATATTTTTTAATTCGGCACGTATTGAGACCAATGACAAATCTATATGTCATTGATTGAGACGACTATCTTTGTTCCACGGAATGCGATTCTTTTGTAATGTCTCTCTATATAATTCGTTACGTGTTGAATACGCACATAAAAATCCCTGTCCAGGTACATAGAGATAGGAAACGCAATGACCGCAACAACGATGGCGTCATCTATGCCTCTCAGATGTTAACTTAAGGTACATGTCGTTTATAGACAGACAGTCACATACTTTGATTTTCTTTTACTATACGGAGAATGGACGCACTGCGCAGCTTTCTGAGTGCCTTTTAAAATGAGATAGAAAACTCCGCCATTTTGATTCCTTATTACGTGTTGCCTACATCTTGGCGCAATATTTTTAATAGGTGCGTTTTAATCATCCGCTTCTGCTTCGGAATTGTCGGTTTTCTTGTTTTAGTTTGACAGGTTAAAACACATACTTTGATTTTCTTTTACTATACGGAGAATGGTCGCACTGCGCAGCTTTCTGAGTGCCTTTTAAAAGGAGATAGAAAACTCCGCCATTTTGAACCCTTATTACGTGTTGCCTACATCTTGGCGCAATATTTTTAATGAGTGCGTTTCAATCATCCGCTTCTGCTTCGGAATTCTCGGTTTTCTTGTTTTAATCTGATAGCTAAAACGACTAAACCGACAATTCCGGAAGCAGAAGCGGATGATTAAAACGCACCTGATATTTTGCTTGCTGCTGTCAGTGTCAGTGAATGTTATTTTTGGAGTCACAGTTTATTGCTAAAGAATCAGTTAGCTCACTCGGACCAGTTGAAAGTTCCAAAATAACATCCACTTCAGGGATACAAATTCAGGATACGCAGAAGACTGCTGTTTTATTATAGGCGGTTGTCATAAATTGTATTATCCGAGTTGCGCAGTGTATAAACTGGAACATTGAGATCAAAAGTGCCGACGCAGAGTGAGCGATCTGATTCTTTAGCTATAAACTCTGGCATAGGAATCAAAATGGCCACGCCCTATGTTGGGCGTGTTGGACCTCTCTCTTGCACCGAATAGTAATCAAAGTATGTGCAGACAGTAGACGTGAAAAGCAGTGGACAGATTGTAAAAATAAATGTCAACGGAGCACGTATTACCACATAATAACCTACTTATTATTATAGGTAGGTTAGTCTGTGGTATTACATTCATAACACATGCCATATAAATAAATTTTACAATCTCAATGTGGCGTTCTTTAATTTACCAAAGTAAGATCTTGCCATGTAAGTACAACAAACAGAAGCTAACTTCGGTAACAAAGTATTTATTTATTATTTTGTATTGTTTTAGAGCAAGAAGCTTCAAAACGTTGGAGAGAAGATTTAATATGGGAAGAAAAATATCTGAATTTCCAATATGGAGTTTGCAGAAAATGATAACGAAAATGTTAAAGTTACAAATAAAAATTTAAAAATATTTGTCATGAATAGATTTATAATAATTAATTGATAATAGACTGTGAGTATAGTAGGGTGGACTGGGGAGGGTTGAGCCAGAGGTAAGTTTGAGCCATAAATATTGCATTGATAACGTATCGTTACATAAATGTACTTTTCCATTTAATGGATATTGCTTCTTTCCCATTATCTAAGTTCAACAACAAATCGAAGTCTTTTACGAAAGTTATAGTAAAAAGTTCTTTTTGAGGCTAAGCAATTAAGTTTTTTAACAAAATATTTACATTATTATATTTGAAAATATATGGATGAATTACACGAATAATATACTAATTCAACATACTTTTATTTATTAAATTATTTGTTAGAATATGTTTTAACCTGAAAATCGTAATTTATTGTGGCTACTAGTACGAGGGGAGGGATGAAGAGATTTTATGTGAGGGGTTTAAGGCATGGATCAAACCTCCCATCATGGTTAGAAAATACCTGTACTTGGTTTTCAGTATTTTTTTTCTTTCCAAGTGGAAAAATATAGGCTAACGTAGATGAATCTTTAGCTTCTTCTACTAAAGTGTTCACTGCAGCATCTACAATAATAATTTTTTGCAGATGCCTTTTAAATGGAAATCAAAAGGCCGACTGCCTACTGATCCTGAAATTTTGGAAACTACAGTACAGAAAATATGTAGTACTAATGGTAAAATCCGCACAGTCGCTAAAACATATAATATTGACACTATCTAGATATGTAAATAAATTTAAATCAAACGAACTTGTATCGTTTGTAGCAAACTTTAATTCTCCGCAAATTTTTACTTATCAAGAAGAATATTTGCTAGTTCAATATCTGCTCAAATGCGCTGACTTACATAGTAGACTTACTCCAATCGCAGTAAGAAAGTTCTATTACATCTTTGCAACTGAAATAACAAAAACAGCAGCTTGGGAGAAAAATAGAGCAGCAACGCTAAGCAACGCGTGATTGGCTAAGAGGTTTTATGTCAAGATATGAAAACTTATTACTTAGGACACGAGAAGCCACAAGTGTAGGACGTGCCACTGCATTTAATAAATATACCGTGCAGCTATTTTTTGACAATTTAAAGACCATCATGACAATGGAACAGATTACACCTGATTGCATATATAATGCAGATGAAACGGGATTTACAACAGCACATAAGCCGCAAAAAATAATTGCAAAGAAAACATCGTGCACTAAAAGTGCATTTGCTAACATTTTCCCATATTTTTAATTTGTTCGAGGGTTAGGATCCAGGATTATATGACAAGAGGACTTTCCATTGGTAACGATGCTGCTTTTAATCCATCAAGTTAGATGACCCACGAGAATTTTAAAAAATATTGCACTTCATCAAGTATTCCCGAGTCAACGAGAATCACAAGTGTCTACTGATACTAGACAACCATGATATCCATATTTCTCCAAAAGGGCTTAACATTTGTTAAGAAAATGGAATAATACTACTCACCATTCTACCTCATACTAGCCATAAGTTACAGCCCTTGGACACGAACGTTTTCGGGCCTTTTAGAAGGTTTTATAACGAAGCGGCAATTAACTGGATGGTCAACAATCCTGCAAAGCTGATATCCTTAAAAGAAATACCTGAACTTATGCGAAGTGCTTACGTTCGCTCTTTTACGCCGGTCAATATTATAGATGGATTTTCACATACTGGTATTTGTCTATATAATCCAGCTGTATTTTCAGATAGGTAGTGATTTTACCAGTTACCAATAACAGACTGGCCAGATCTATTTGAAGCTTAAAAGGCTACAGAAAATTTACTTTTAGCTGTCCCTAGTACTTTCCAAAATATTCCAAATGCATTTATTATAAGTCCTGATGTTATAAGGCCATTTCCGAAAGCTCTTCCACGTAAAAATAAAGCTAACGGACACCCCCGAAAAAGACCAAATAAAAAAAATTGAGGAAAGATTAAAGAAAAAGAAAGAACAAAATAAAAGAAAGGAAGAAAGGGCGACAAGATTAAAAAAAAATTGGTTTCAAAACATGAAAAACAGGTGCCCGTTAAACAAAATAAGATTGAGACAGTTATAAAGGAATTTCAACATTCTAACGATTCTTTCGAGTTCTGATGAGTTAATCGATATTTGAGGAACAGATTGAAAAACAAAATGCTAAAGAAATCTTTATGAATCAAGAAGTTTGTAAGGCTGACTATGTTCTTGTACTATTTCTTACCAAAATGACTTTCCGATATTACGTTGCTAAAGTCATAAATATTAAGGGCAATGATTTCGACTTATTATGCATGAGACTAAAGCTTCCAGGATACACATTTATTTTTCCCGATGTTGCCGATGAATGTTGCGCACCTAGAGACGATCTTGTTAAGTTACCAAACCCCTCCTTTACTGGAGGAATAGCAAGAACACATAGAATCTTTTCTTTTCCAGTAGATTTTTCCAAATTATTATTATTATTGAAGGAAAGGGTTAAACAATTTGTTAACTGTCTTTAATAAATTTGCTTTAACTCGTGACTTTATCGTTACCTACTACTCTTGTCTCACCGTCACCTCCCTTTGCTTGACTCAAGTCTCCCTTCATAAAGGAGGTTTGAGACAAGTGCATGTGGTACTTATATCAATTATTTTTTAAAATAATCTTACTATTGTGTTAAAAAATTAAAACCAATAGTTAATCAATATGTAAAAAACTTTATGCGATTACTGAAACACGGCAGAAAACCAGGTCGCTGAAAAAAAGTGGCTCCCCTACTCTTTTCAATAAATAATTTACCGTAATTAACATTGTTTAAATTTATTTAGGAGGACACGAAAGTGCATATTTACAACCTTTATTATCAGGTTTTTAAATTTCCCGCCGCGTTATTGGTTTGATATCGATAAAAGCGCCACATAGTGGGTCAGACGTTAACTGCGTTCGAGCTGGTCGTTGTTAAGCATGTGCTTCATAGGAGCGGTTCCTATCTTTATGTCCCTTATCTCTGGACGTTGCCATCTAAATTCGTTCAATTTTAAATAACTTATATTAGTCCAATAAATAAAGGGATAAAGTTGGACTTAATTACGCCCTATTTTCATCTTCCGGTTGGAAGTAGGTTTTGGTACCTCATTAAACATGGGACAAAGTTTGCGTGGAAAACGCGTGCGATGGCCGAGAAAATGGCCCCAAAAGACCAGAAATATAGGTTTTCAGCCAATATCTCCTAAAATATAGCAGTTAGAGATTTTTGGTTTAGATAAAAATTTAAATTCAGTTAATTTTCCACAAAAATGGTCCTTATGATTTTTCTCGAAAATTTGCTCGGTTTCGAGAAAAACGGCACCAAGCGCGCGTTGAATAATGAGCTTCTGTGTTGTATGCCGGAGAGCACAGTTCGTGTATTTACACATTATCGGGGGGACAAATTATTCAATAACTTTGTTAAAAATGCATATTTTCACATGATTTAAAGTTTTGTGTGAAAGAGGAATTCTGCTGCTATCATACCCTGTGACTTAAGTCACGCTTGACTCTTTTGGCCATGTCGGAACACGGGTCAAACTTTCTGCTCCCGGGCAATTTTGACCTCGCCAGGAATTTGTTCCTATTTTTTTTGTATTGCACTAATTTCCTCAAAATTTTCTTGATTATGGGTCCTCATAAGGTCCTTTGTCATTCGTGAAATTTGTATACCCTAAATTTTTAGAATTTTTATTTAATCTTTGTTTATTGAATCCCAAATTTTTGCTGTTTTTGGAGCGCGGGGAAATTTTGTGAAGAATTAAAAATTAATACATGATCGGATTGGTCTCTATGATACATCATTCGAAAGCTTAGAATGTATACTTTTCGATTGTGCAATTACTTTTTTTGACCAAGTCGTTCATTTTTTCAATAAAATTGGAAAACGCGGGCTCAAGGAAAAAACGCACTTTTTTTTTGTGGTTTTTTCTCCCTGCTCTTTATTTCTAACATTTTAACACCGTAACTAGTGTAACGGGGGAATTCCCACCTTTCCATCGATGTATATAAGTCATAGCTTTGATACCCCGGGAAAAAAAACCAGTGTATCTAAATGTACACGCTATAATTTGTTACTTTCGTTCCTCCCGTCGTTCGTCGTGTGTGCGCTCTATGTGGCGCTCATGTCGTCAGCTATAAACCATGCGGCCACGCATGGAGGCATAAGTGTGTTTGTTTTCTGTCATTATTTTGATAAATATTATTGTTAATTATAGAAAGAAAAATCATAAAAGTGAAGAATATTGAAAACAAAAACCGCTAAATCGGCTCTGATAAAGATATTGATAAGACTGAATGTATTTACGTTGTCGCCGGGGGGGGGGGGGGGAGGGGGGTTGTTGATACATCGGGTACCCTGGACGGGAAAGGAATTATTTCATGAAATTTCAGCCAGATATCTAAAACATTTAAGGGATAATTATTCCGGGCAAGTCACAGTTTTCGACGGCTATGAATGCAATCGCGATAGTATAAAAGGGTCGGAACGTTTGCGACGTGCAAAGAACATGATATGCCCTGAAGTAAGGTTCGAGCCCAACATGCCTTTATCATTTCCAAAGGACAAGTTTTTGTCCAATTGTAACAATAAAATTCGCTTCATTCAGAATTTGAAGGGTGTTCTGGAAGAGAATGGCATTTCGGTTAGACAAGCAGTAGACGATGCAGACTCGTTGATTATACATACGGCGTTGGGGAAATATGCTGTCAATGGCCTGCCAGTTGTAGTAGTGGCAGAGGATATTGACATTCTTGTCCTAATAACAGCCCTGACCCCAAAAGATCAAACAATTTATTTCTTGAAGCCTGGAAAGGGAAAAAAAACCCAGCAAATATTTTCCTCCAAGAGTTTGGATGCACGACCCTTCGTTAGAGACAATATTTTATTTATCCATGCTATTTCGAGAAGCGATACAACTTCTGCTTTTTTCGGGAAAGGGAAAAAGTCAATAGTCGACAATTTAGAGGGAAAAGTAGTGAAGAACAAAGAACTGAAAGCGGTCATTGAAAGTTTTAAAAACCATAATCTTCCCCACGAGACCGTATTTCAGGACGGGCAAACTGTCATTGCGTCGATGTACGGTGATGATGATGGACAAACCCTGACAAAGATTAGATACGAGATCTTCAAGCGATTCACCAGAGACAGAAACAGAAACCCAACTGCGCTCAAACTTTCAACCTTGCCCCCCACACCTGAAGCTGCAAGGCAGCACCTTTATCGGGTATTTCTGCAAGTGCAACAGTGGCTCGGAAACGAATTGTAACCAGAAAAATGGGGATGGAAACGTGTAGAGGATATACTCATGCCGGTCCAAACCATTAAAGAGCCTGCGTTTCCCGAAATCTTAAAGATGATATTTTGTCAATGTAAGAAAGAATGTAAGGGAACATGTTCATGCAAGAAAGCAGGGCTACCTTGCTCATCTATTTGTGGTTCGTGTGAGTCACGCCAGTGTTCGAATTACAAAGACAGCGATAATACGATATCCCAAGAGGTAGAATTAGAGGAGGTAGAATTAGAGGAAACTCTAGACTCACAGGAACTTGTTGGCGAGGGTGACGTTGATGACAAAGAATCAGATGAAGACTGGTGACGAACAGATTTATGTCATAATTGCAATGTATTTTTATATACTTTTTTCATCAATTCATGGACAACTAACCCGTGAATCTCTTGTACTTTCGTTAAAAATTTTCTATATAATATTTTAGTCTATAATATATTACTCTTGTATCATTATATTGGGTTCTCCCGTTGATAAATATATAAATAAATAAAAATATATTTTTCTATAATAAATAAAACATGAAGAACATTTATAACTCTTTATTCCAAAAACCTCAATCAGTCTGGTTGCAAAAAAAGCAGTACAAAAATTTGCGGAGAATCTCCAAGAAATTGTTGCTGAGTATCATGGGTAAATATTCTTCACTCTTGAGGCATTTCCAGTTTTCCTTACCAAAAACCTAATGAACTTCAGTATTTTCAGGCCAATTGGTGGGGTTCATCCTGCTGTAATTAATCTTATAGCCTGTTTTCCTAAAAAGTATATCTTAAGGCCTCATCTGCGAGGAAAACAAGACCCTCGGAAACATAAATATCCTTCAAAAGTGTCTGGTTACAGGGTTTCTCATTTATGGCACCGAGGATTTTCCCAATCTATAAAATGTGGTGGTGCCATCTACAATTGGTTTCCACAATCCAAAACATTAAAAATAATGGATTTCCAACACCCCCCAGCTCAAATTTTGTACAAAACTTGCATATTTTACAAGTTTCAGAATTTCCGGTTTTTCAACCCGATTTTTTTTGCAGAAAATATTAATGTTGCGAAAAAAATCATAAGGACCATTTTGTAGAAAATTAACTGATCTTCAATTTTTATCTGATATTGGCTGAAAACCTATTTTTCTGGTCTTTTGGGGCCATTTTCTCCGCCATCGCACGCGTTTTCCACGCAAACTTTGTCTCGTGTTTAACGAGGTACCAAAAGCTACTTGAAACCGGAAGATGAAAATAGGGCATAATTAAGTCCAACTTTGCCTTTTTTCCTCGTTCATTTACTGGACTATATGTAATAAATAACAGGTTTGTTCCAACAACGATCTTGAAACAATACATAAACCAGTCCAAAACTTATTGTTGACAATCTGTCGATGACTAGTAATTGACAACTTGTCAGGTACTGGTCGGGGATTGGGACTCAACTCGGAAGTCGATTGTTGGAACACATTTTTTAAATTCAACAGACGCATATTATTACAATAATAAACCACAAAATAAACCACGCAGAGTGAGCGATCTGATTCTTTAGCTATAAACTGTGTCATAGGGTTCAAAATGGCCGCGCCCTATGTTGGGCGTGTCGGACCTCTCTCTTGCCCCGTATAGTAATCAAAGTGTGTGATGGTAAACGATATTCAATGCGAAATGTCATATTGATGGAATACTTAAATAACGACGAAAAGCATGAGCAAGATGATATTATATTTTATTTCGTTAGTAATAGTCGGGTTTTGACTAAATTTGAAAGGTAAATAATAATTATTACCTTATTAATACTTTTTAAATGTATATCTTCGGTACTCAGAATATTTAATGTACGACAAGATAATAATAAATCTGTCATTCATACGTCACTTTCAAATTGATGGCAAGCTAGAAAGATGTGCTGTACGTCAAATGAAATGGCGAAACGTGGAAATCACGTATTTGATGTCGTCTTCGACAAGAACTCTAAAAGGCTTCAAATGTATGAAAATGGAAAATTAATGATTATTCCGAAATATGGGTCCTACATATTTTTCGAATCAATAAAAACATCAAAAACTTTTGAATAGTACAAAACATTAATGGTTATTCTTCTTTTTCCAAACTAATCTAGTCAAAATTAGAAAAAATCTTGAATAGCAAGTTACTTAAATATCGAATAAAAGTAAATTAGAAGAACGTACCCTTCTGAGAAGTCAGGATGAACGATTGCTGTTACAGCTTCAACAAAAACTGTGTCGTTTGAGTGTAAGTCAGTAGCTCCAACAGCAATCGTAGGATGATTTTCAATACAACGAACGGCGGTCAATATCCAGTTTTCATTGATGATTATACCACCGCAATAGTGTTCACAGCCGTTCCAGAAACACACCTGGACGGAAACTACGAATGGATAATCTTCGATTTTAGCATCAACGGCATTTTGAATATTTAGCTGATGTTTGCCGAGTATGGCATTTGGTGCTCCTAGAAGAATGTTGATAATAAAAGTAATTATTAACATAATTCATTTAGTAAAATATTAAATTCTTTATAATACAATAATAGCTATAAATCAATTACTTCCAAAACAAATTTTAGTAAATTGGCCCAAAAATAATTCTAAACGCTTGATAATAAATCTAATTGGATTAAAACGACCAGGTGTAGCGTCAATTTTAAGAACTGAAGAAGAAGAAAAACAATATTTTGGGGGCACATATTATGTTTTCAAGATAATTTCCGAGTCATTTTCTAGATTTTCTAGATATTTTCGAGATATTTTCGAAATATTTTCGAGATATTTTCTAGATATTTTCGAGATATTTTCGAGATATTTTCGAGATATTTTCGAGATATTTTTAAGATATTTTCGAGATATTTTCGAGATATTTTCGAGATATTTTCGAGATATTTTCGAGATATTTTCGAGATATTTTCGAGATATTTTCGAGATATTTTCGAGATATTTTCGAGATATTTTCGAGATATTTTCGAGATATTTTCGAGATATTTTCGAGATATTTTCGAGATATTTTCGAGATATTTTCGAGATATTTTCGAGATATTTTCGAGATATTTTCGAGATATTTTCGAGATATTTTCGAGATATTTTCGAGATATTTTCGAGATATTTTCGAGATATTTTCGAGATATTTTCGAGATATTTTCGAGATATTTTCGAGATATTTTCGAGATATTTTCGAGATATTTTCGAGATATTTTCGAGATATTTTCGAGATATTTTCGAGATATTTTCGAGATATTTTCGAGATATTTTCGAGATATTTTCGAGATATTTTCGAGATATTTTCGAGATATTTTCGAGATATTTTCGAGATATTTTCGAGATATTTTCGAGATATTTTCGAGATATTTTCGAGATATTTTCGAGATATTTTCGAGATATTTTCGAGATATTTTCGAGATATTTTCGAGATATTTTCGAGATATTTTCGAGATATTTTCGAGATATTTTCGAGATATTTTCGAGAAATTTTCGAGAAATTTTCGAGAAATTTTCGAGATATTTTCGAGATATTTTCGAGATAGTTTCGAGATATTTTCGAGATATTTTCGAGATATTTTCGAGATATTTTCGAGATATTTTCGAGATATTTTCGAGATATTTTCGAGATATTTTCGAGATATTTTCGAGATATTTTCGAGATATTTTCGAGATATTTTCGAGATATTTTCGAGATATTTTCGAGATATTTTCGAGATATTTTCGAGATATTTTCGAGATATTTTCGAGATATTTTCGAGATATTTTCGAGATATTTTCGAGATATTTTCGAGATATTTTCGAGATATTTTCGAGATATTTTCGAGATATTTTCTAGATATTTTCGACATATTTTCGAGATATTTTCGAGATATTTTAGAGATATTTTCGAGATATTTTCGAGATATTTTCGAGATATTTTCGAGATATTTTCGAGATATTTTCGAGATATTTTCGAGATATTTTCGAGATATTTTCGAGATATTTTCGAGATATTTTCGACATATTTTCGACATATTTTCGACATATTTTCGAGATATTTTCGACATATTTTCGACATATTTTCGAGATATTTTCGAGATATTTTCGAGATATTTTCGAGATATTTTCGAGATATTTTCGAGATATTTTTGAGACATTTTCGAAATATTTTCGAGATATTTCCGAGATATTTTCGAGATATTTTCGAGATATTTTCGAGATATTTTCGAGATATTTTCAAGATATTTTCGAGATATTTTTGAGATATATTCGAGATATTTTCGAGATATTTTCGAGATATTTTCGAGATATTTTCTAGATATTTTCGAGATATTTTCGAGATATTTTCGAGATATTTTCGAGATATTTTCGAGATATTTTCGAGATATTTTCGAGATATTTTCGAGATATTTTCGAGATATTTTCGAGATATTTTCGAGATATTTTCGAGATATTTTCGAGATATTTTCGAGATATTTTCGAGATATTTTCGAGATCTTTTCGAGATATTTTCGAGATATTTTCGAGATATTTTCGAGATATTTTCGAGATATTTTCGAGATATTTTCGAGATATTTTCGAGATATTTTCGAGATATTTTCGAGATATTTTCGAGATATTTTCGAGATATTTTCGAGATATTTTCGAGATATTTTCGAGATATTTTCGAGATATTTTCGAGATATTTTCGAGATATTTTCGAGATATTTTCGAGATATTTTCGAGATATTTTCGAGATATTTTCGAGATATTTTCGAGATATTTTCGAGATCTTTTCGAGATCTTTTCGAGATATTTTCGAGATATTTTCGAGATATTTTCGAGATATTTTCGAGATATTTTCGAGATATTTTCGAGATATTTTCGAGATATTTTCGAGATATTTTCGAGATATTTTCGAGATATTTTCGAGATATTTTTGGGATATTTTCGGAAAATTTTCAAAAAAATTTCGAGATGTCACGCTTCGTATAAATTAATATTTTATATAATCGAAATTAATCGAATAATTTCTTAATTTATGATGACCCCATATTTACAAAAAAATACTTTAGCAAGAATACCTACGTTAGAAGCAGCAGCACATATGTATTAATAAAAGTAATTCGATTTGGTGACATACTTATTTCGAGAATCAGCTTGATGAAAATACAAATAGTTCAAAAACTTTGAAAAATAAATTATTTCTAAAACTTTATTTTGAAAATTGTTATTTTGAGAATACTACTTGGATAATGATATTTTAAGAAAATTGAATTAAAAAATAGGAAAAAATTATGCGTTTTTAAAATAATTCAGAAACAAGAAACCTTAACTTACCATAGCATAGAGATACAGCTGCGAGGAAGACAACAACTTTAGCACTGAACATTTTGTATGATCTGAAAACAATTTGTTTTGCGATATCTTATTTATACGAATTTTTTCAAGTATTTTTATTCCCCAAACAAATATTTTAAACTTTAGAGTTTAAATTAGATATATCTATGTAAATCTACGTGTAAGTGGTAAACAATTTCCATTAGATAACGCTTCGAGGGATTAAATTCAGTAACATTAAATTTTAAAATATAAAAATATAATCCCTTATTCCCAATAGAAATAAGGTAAATTTCATTTCCATATCCCCAAAGTGAACACAAACGAAAGAAAAATTAGCTTGAGAAAAAATGCATTATCCGGCTACAGATCGAACCTTGATCTTCAGAGTATAGTCCTCGACGCCTTTATCAATTAGAACACTGCAGCACATAGCTCGCAGATTCACACCCTCCCCCTTAATTTATCCTGCAGAACAACCAGTAGTGTCAATAGGAACTGCTATAACTTTATCAGAAGATTTCCTTGACACTAATTGTAATATACCAAATGTTACGAATTAAATTGAAAAAGAGTTAAATTCGAAATTAGATTTTTCATTGGTAAAATATGATATTCATTCAAACATTGTAAGGGGGTATGGAAAATAGGTATAACCTGACGGTGTAAGAAACAGGTAAGGGACATAGAGGACAAAAAAAATATAAACAGAAAATAAAAAATTTGAAAAAATTCAAACATCTTAAATAGTGTTTATTTTGACTTTTTTAATTTGGTGTCATCGGCATCGACTACTAAGGTTATTATCCTCGTGTTCTGTGTAGGCTTTGTTACTGTTTCCCAGTGCCACTTTAGAAACAGCACTGTTCATCATAATAATAATAATAATAATAATAATAATAATAATAAAAAAGTGTTTATTATTAAAAAAGCATTGAAAAAAAAATATATGTAAACAAATATTAAAATAGAGCCAAAAATGCCGATAAGTGCCTAGGCACTTGTTTTGGTTAAAATACAAAATACACTTCCCCAATAAATTAACGCACCATCGAAAAATAACAAAAAGTTTAAAGTAAATATTTGTCAAAACCACTTGTCTGTTTTGGAAGATTTTTTTTTTAACTGACAGGTTGCCTCTTCCACAACGTCGGTTTGCTAACTGTGTTTGCATAAAATCCTCTTTTTTTATTAATACAGGGTATAGCAATTATAGCGTGATTTTTTCATAAAAGTTGTAACACCCTGTAGAGCGCAATAGTTACATTACCAAGTTCGCATTGATATCACAATTGACTTAACAATTTCATTTTTTATTTACTCCATTATGTTTCCTATTACACGAGAAACTCAATTTTATAACTTAAAATGACTTTATTCATTTGCATTAGCATTATAAGCACTAAAGTAAGTAGCATGCTATGGAAACACCAGTAATTGTCAAATACAGATGCGTATTGTCAGTATTTAGTCCATTCGCCATTTTTTGCAAAAAAAATTTTTAAACAATATGCCACGAAATCTTACTCGCGAAGAATGTGCTAAAGCTTTAATATTGTTTGAAGAGGGTTGGAGTTACCGAAGAATTGGTGAACGATTTGACGTAACCCCCACAACCGTTTCACGAGTTATACAAAGATATAGAGAGACTGGAAATCATGGTCGTAGACCGGGACAAGGAAGAAACCGAGTAACTACTCCGATTCAGGATCGATTTTTAAGACTGTCAGCCTTAAGACAACGTTTTGTAACAGCTCGGACCCTTCAAACCCAGCTTCGGGATACTAATGGTTTAGAAGTTTGTACAGAAACTGTTCGTCAGCGACTAAGGGAACATAATTTGAGGCCTACAATAGCTGCTCGAGGTCCAGTTCTAACTCGAGTTCATCGCAGAGCAAGGCTAAATTTTGCCAGAGAGCATCGTAACTAGTTAGAGGCTGAATGGCAACAGGTATTATTTACTGATAAGTCTCGATTTTGTCTGTATAACAATGACAGGCGTATGCGCGTATACCGACGCCCTAATGAACGGTATGCTCAGTGTAATTTCTCACATACATTATTTGGAGGAGGATCTCTGATGGTCTGGGGAGGCATTTCTTTGACTGGTCGCACAGAACTTGTAATCTTAAATAGAGGCCTTACAGCTGACATGTACATATTGGACATTTTAGACAAACATGTAGTTCCATTTGCACCATATATAGGGCAAGGATTTTTGTTGATGCAAGATAATGCCAGGCCTCATGTTGCTCGAGTTGTGAGAAATTATCTAGAGGAAGTCGGTATCGCTAGAGTACGATTCAACTTAGAAAAAGCCACGGGCGTCATCAACTAGTCATCGTCTGCCTCACTTTAAAATATTCCTTCTTTGTTGCTCCAGATCGATATACCAGTGGCGTAGGCTCTTATTTAAATAAGAATTAAAGCAGTTTCCCAACAAAAAACATTTATTGGATTAAAAAGTTAAATTTTAATGATTTAAACATTTGTATATTACCTAAATAACTAAACTAATATAACATTACATATATTTTTCGACTTAAGACTTGCAAAACATTCAGTGGGAAGTAAATAAAAATAGCAACACAATTTTGTAATTTAAGATTTTTATTACAATTAAAATAATAGTTATTTATGCAACTAGTGCAAAAAGTGAAACTAGAGGAGTACATCCTATTTCGTCCGATAATAAACTCTCTCGCTGTATTCACTTTCTTCCGATGAACCCGTATTTTTGTTCGTAAGTAAAAGCTTGGCAACGCCGAAGTTTGGCTCACAATAATAAGGGATCCATGTTTACGCGATAGCTTCTGTTCGAATTATATTCTGGACCATGCGGCAGTCATACAGCGTTGCCAAATTATTAAGCAATTGTATCTCTATATTAGAAAAACGAAAAAAATCGCCAAAACGCCACTGACGCTTAAATGGGATGGATCTGAGAGAGAGGCAAATTATTGCGGCCTTTGTCAGGTATGATGTGTGTGGCTTTTTCTTAGTTGAATCGTACTCTACCATGGCATGGCCAGCTCGGAGCCCGGATTTAAATCCGATAGAAAATCTCTGGGATATTCTTGGGAGGAAATTACAAGAGGAACGTAATCTGAACTCTCTGGAAGATATACGTCAGAGACTGATTCAAATATGGGAAGAATTGGACCAAAATGACATAAGGTCTCTTATTTTAAGTATGGGCCACCATTGTCAAGAAGTTATTTGTGTCAGAGGCGGAAATACTCGCTACTGACACTTATTTCGTTACATTTTGTTTCATGTTTTTATTGTTAAATTTTGATATTAATTTTTAATAAAATCATGTTATGTTATAAAATAATGTTTCTCGAATAACGACAAAGCTAATAGGGTAAATAAGAAAAGAAATTGTTAAGAAAAGATAAGGCTACATTGTGAGATCAATTCTAACTTGGTAATGTAACTGTTGCACTCTACAGGGTGTTACAACTTTTATGAAAAAATCACGTTATAATTTATACACCCTGTATTAATAAAAAAGAGGATTTTATACAAACACAGTTAGCACATCGACGTTGTGGAAGAGACAATCTTTCATTAAAAAAAAAATCGTCCAAATCAGACAAGTGGTTTTGACAAATATTTACTTTAAACTTTTTGTTATTTTTTGATGGTGCGTTAATTTATTGAGGAAGTGTATATAAATAATATGATATAAATCTTAAAATTTACAAATACATAAAATATACAACAAAATGTACACATATATAAAAAATAGTGGAATTTACAAATTACTTATACAACTCTAATAATTATTAAAAAAAAAAGACAACGTAACACTAAATCAATATTTTTAGTAATTATTTAGTTTTCAAAAAGATTATTAATAATAGACCTATTAGTATCAATAATAAAGTGTTTTAGATGTCTTTTGAAGCCACAAATACTTTTAATAATTTTTAAGTTTCTGGTATAGCTTTGTATAGTTTGGGTGCTATAAACAGATAAGAACGTTGGGCACAAGATTTGTTCATAAATCGAAGATTAAAGTGATGTTTCTGGCGAGTGTTATTTATACTGGTGAGATAGAAGTGGAGCTTTTTGTTTATAAAGGTGATATCTAACACACAAACACAAATAGTATAATTGCCTTATCCATTATTTTTATTTCAGCATATAATGCATCTGATGGATACCTCGAGTTTTTGGATAAAATTAATTTTAAAAACTTTCTTTGGATTACTTCTAAACCAGAAAGGTGAGTTTTAAGAGTTGTATTCCACGCAAGGAGCCCATAACGAAGATGTCTTTTTACCAATGCAAAGTATAACATTTTTAAAAAACTTCTAGATAAATAATCTTTTAATTTTCTACCTTTAAATAATATAATTCATAATTTACTTGTTACATAAGATATATGCATGTCCCATTTCATATTGCTATCGATAAATACACCTAAATATATACAGTGAGCACCATAAGTCTTACCCCCCCCCCTATCTAACTAGTTACTGGAGAGTCTTGTTAGGAAAATCGCTGAGACACCTCGATTTTCGATTTCTACAATGTACATTTTTGTATGAATAGTTTACCCTTAATTTCATCCCTTACTTAAGGGAAGCAACCCTTTCGAAAAATTTAAATGACATGAGGTAGTGAGTGATAGCTTATTTGAAAGAGGGTTTTATTCTCTATTCAACCATGTAAAAAATTTTGAAATTTGCTTCATTAATTCTCGACTAATTGTTGTTTCAGTATAACGGAAATTAACGTAGCGCACTCATCGTTAGAATTAAAATTCGGCCCTGCATGATTTCGGTTTTGGTTCAGACGTGAAGTAAGACTTTCTGCCATTAGAAGGTCACTGTTAGTTTAGTAGCTTTCCTATTTTGTGAGGTTTTGTTATTTTTAAACATTAATAAATCAACACATAATGAAGCAAATTTTAAAATTTTTTGCACGGTTGAATAGAGAATAAAACCCCCTTTCAAATGAGCTATCACTAACCACCCAATGCCATTTAAATTTTTCGAAAGGGTTGCTTCCCTCCAGTAAGAGATGAAATTAATGGTAAACTAATCATACAAAAATGTACATTGTAGAAATCAAAAATCGAACTGTCTCGGCGATTTTTCTAACAAGACTCCAGTAACGAG